CTGTTTTGGTATCACATTAATTGTTTTAATTAAGTTCTGGAACTCTGAAGTGGCAGGGCTTGATGTAAACACTTCTTGGCATTTTCTATTTTTAAACTGAAAGAAAGTACCGTATATCCACAGATATAATCTGAGATAATATATTGTGAATTCTTTCCAGGGAAGTGTTACGTAAATTACTTTGAGATAATACTTCTGCTAAGTGTAAACTTCCCTGTATAGCGGTATGGAGTGAACTGCTCCCCACTGGGCGTGAGAGAGTGGTAGGAAGCGAGCGGTGTTTACTGAATCAGCTCGACCCCCGTGATAGATGCAACTTCAGTGATCTAGTCATAAACAACATGGTAAATCACTTGGTGAATAATTTGATGAATAACATGATGTTATTCATTGGGGTGTATTTATATAAAGCAAAGATGCTGTTACACCTGGATGAAAATTGTTTTTGAATGTCTCCGGCAGTTCACACCTCTATAGACTGCTTTGTCAATGGGCAGATCAAGAGGTAGCAGTATGGGTGATGAAAATAGTTGGTCAAATGCATTCACTGTGATTGCATTATTTTCTTGCTCCTGTGAGAACTGTGATCTTTGAACAAATTTATTAAATAAGCTTATTTTTTGTTCTTACTAATTTTGTACTCAGTAATTCACTTTGTAATCCAATGAAGAACTTTTGTTGAGTCGTTCTTATCATTAACAATTTCTTTGTTGTTATTCTCCTGTATAACACTCGTTTGACTTTTGTATCTTCTTAGAAGAATTTTGTTAAAGCGAATTTTTCTTTAAATAGCTTATTAATTATGAGTTTTATACGTAATTTATTACTTAATCTTATCATTAGTATTTATAACACATTTCTTACATCAATTCTATACATAAATTAATAAATTTTCACTGAAAAAATGCCTGGAGAACTTTTCACACTATTTCAGTTAAAGGTATGTGTGAAACCATTTAGGCAGACAATGGTTTACAAGGAAAAGTTGGGTAGATGCTTATATAAGTTTTGGGTACAGTACATGCTATCTTCTCTCCCTTCTCTTCTGTTCTCATTCGGTCACTTTCCTTTTTCCTGCTCCAAAAGTTACTTATGTTGTTACAGCAGTGGAGTAAAACCGTTTCTCCGACTCCTTACACTGTGTTCAGGTGACAGTAAACATACAGTACTAACTTTACAAAACGGGTCTCTTACTGGTCCAATGAGGGAATAAGTGTTGGTATAAGAGGCAATTATTTCAGTTTTAGCATAACAATTTTATTATCAAGATCTCAAAACAAAGATAAATGTTATCATTTATAGATGAGGGAATTAACAAGGCAATACACGTCAACAATAAGCAGATGCGCATGCTAATGACGCAAGTCTCAAGTTAAATTAAATTTTACTAATATTCTCCATCATTTCTTAAAATGTGCAAGAACAAGAAAATAAAGGTTGTTGCAGAATTCAAATGCTTAAAAAAAATCATAGGTAAAGCAAGTTCTCGAATCGCATGTGAAAACAGAAGTTTCGTCGATGATCACCAAACACAGTTGAGGGTGTCTTCTTATAGGTCATGGTGGCGTCCGTCAGGTCTGGCCACTGTTGTGGACTAGTGGTAAGGCTGTTTTACCCTGCAACATATATTATTGCCGTAGCAGATGCCGGTAGATATTTCTTGTCCGTAACTACAAAAACTTACACAAAACCCGTTGACTTGTGGGCAGGGATACTTGATGCTTCCTGTTGGAGACGAAAGGAGGGCGTTAGAAGCAGATTGTGAAATCCACTAACCCAGATATTTCACTTTTGTCATGGAAGAATATAGGCGAGGGAAAAAAGAGGCCACACTTAGAGATCTCCTTGTTGCTATTTCGTGCGAAGGTGTTCATGAACACTGGTACACGGTACTTTGTGTTCATGTAAGACTGGTACACGGTACAAAGGCGTTCATATAACACTGGTACACAGTATTAAGTTGTTCATGTAACACTTGTACACGGCACTCAGGTGTTCATGTAACACTGATACACGGTATTAAGGTTATATGACTAGTTTAGCCCATCCTATCGTCACCCGCAGTATTATTATGAGTTGTTCACATTACCTTTACTTAAAGCTGAGAATTTAATTGAATATTAAGTTTTTTAGTTGTTGTTATTTGTTAAAACTCAACATACTGGATTTAAGTAAAAACAGATAGAGAAATTTGAAAAAGACCATGAAAAATAAATGAAAAGGACTTCATATGTATATTAAATATATATACATATATATATATATAAATATATATATGTATATATATATATATATACAATCAACACCTCAACCCGCCAGGATTCGAACCCGCGGCCCACGAGCCAATGACTGTGACCGGGGAACGCTAACCACTGGACCACCAGGATACAAAAACAGTCCTAGACTTAGTTTTATTTCACACAAAGCCTGTTCAACGAGCTTAAGGCGCCGTGAACCTCTAATGGGGACTACCCGTATCACGTAGGTGGTCAGAGTAACGTTTTACCAAATCCGCCTTCGAAACACGAGGATCCATATATATTTCATTAGCCCAATAAAGCATGCGGACTTCTACATACAATCAACACCTCAACCCGCCAGGATTCGAACCCACGGCCAACGAGCCCATGACTGTGACTGGGGAATGCTAGCCGCTGGACCACCAGGATACAAAAGCAGTCCTAGACTTTGATATATTTCACACAAAGCCTGTTCAACGAGCTTAAGGCGCCGTGCTGGCGTAGAGTAAACAAAGCTCAAAACTCCCGCGTGCTTTATTGGGCTAATGAAATATATATATATATATACATATATATATATATATATATATATATGTGTGTGTAAGGATGTATTCAAAGCTTTGCATTTTCTGAAACCATTATTAAAAAGAAACTCGTAACAACACTATGTCATTCTTAATGCAATATCGAAGCATCGGAAGAGGTGTTCAATGCATTATTTTTCAATGTATGAAAGAGATTACTTTAAATTTAAAAAAGAGGTGATTGAATAAAATTTCGTAAATTTCCTTGTAAGAAAGGTTTACTTAAAACTGACAAGGCGATCTCATCATATTTTTGCCTATCTTCAAGCATCAGGATGTGTCACCATATTCTAGACGTCTAGAATGACTCATCAACAATGAAATGACGCATCAAGCGCAGGAGTGGCTCGCCAAGAACCTGGGCAACTCAGCAAACACTGGACTGAGATAAAATATAATTAAGGTGACTCACCATTGACAACGGTGACGGCCACGATCACCAGCACCAGCAGGAATACAATGCTCTTGGTATTCATGGTTCACCAGCCTGTTGAGAGGAAACTTTTACTCACAGAACACAATGTACATTGGGTCTGACCTGTATAATGAACCTTATGAATGAACTGTACATAAAGAACGTCTAGTGGTGGACTTTTCTTGTTGTATTAAGGTCGAGAGAACCCCAGTTTGGGATTCTAGTGAGGAAGATAGTAGAGCTGGCGAGGAAAGTATAAGGATGGAAATTGCATATTGTAGTATGTTGGTATATATTTCAATTTCTCTGTCTCTCGCTTTTCTCGATGTTTCATATTTGGCATGACATATTATTTTATTTACCACTTGTGGACATTGCTTCATACCCCCCGCCCCACTCCCGCACATGTACTGTATATACATCATCTTAACTATGATTCAGAATACCCGACTTCATAAAGGTGTTGCACAAGGAAGGTGCGTCAGTACAATTTGAGATTTGAATTGCAGTATTTTATTTCCATCTAATACATGATTATATATATATATATATATATATATATATATATATATATATATATATATATATATATATATATATATATATATATATATATATATATATATATATATATATATTGATAAAATCACACGGGGGAAAAAAGGAAACAACGGAGCACCTTAGCAGTGCCTTGTTCGTTCATGTTAGGAATAATAATCATCACATTGCTTGGGGAAAAAGCTTAGAAGTGTTCAAACCATCTTGTGTCACAGAAAGACTTCTGATTGAAGCTAGTTTGATTAAGGAATTAAAATCAATTAACCTTATTGATGGTCAGTTCAAAACTGATATTATGTTACATAAATTTATTTGTCAGTGGCCCAAGGTTAAAAATGCTTTAAAAACCTAGGAGCTAGATGTAGGATAGTTATTTAGTGGGTCCCTTATTTTTGACCTGACCTGACCTGACTAGTTTCGTCGCCCCCTTTCTCTTAAGCTTCTCTAAGTGTGTGTTGGTGTTGGTGTGGGGACTAGTGGATGACATCATTATGGCCTGACCTCATGTTTAATAAGGTCACCCTGTATATTTAAGCCTCTCTCTGTCCATGTAATCCAGTTGCCTCTGAAGATGTCTTGAATGAAGACGAAAGCTAAGGTGCTCCGGTGTTTCCCTTTTCCCGTGTGATTTTATCAAGATTTATCTTATCCACGTTTTCATTGTGGATCTACATGAAATATATACTGTATATATAAAACTTGAGAGAAAACACCAAACTTACACCACGCACTTAATAGTCGTCATTCTGTGTATACTTCAGTATTATTTAAAACGAATGTAAGCTTACCTCAGTTACGATATCAGCAAGAGACAGGAGTAAGGTGTGATGATACAATTCCTTGGTGTTCACTTTATATACCTGACGTCCAGGAATTACCGATATCAGCTGGAGAAATTTACTTATTTCCTTTTATTAATTGTAGAACACCCTGGTCCTTGAATACATAAAATTAATTTCTATGTTTGATCATCTACAGTAATATTTAATTAAATATAAAGAATTACCAGCGAAAGGGAGAAACGTGATGGAATTAACTATTGGAGAATAATTTCACCTGGCATCCCATGACCTGGAAGCCCCAAGGCATGTATCTATATATTGTATATATATATATATATATATATATATATATATATATATATATATATATATATATATATATATATATATATATATATATATATATATATATATATATATATATATATATATATAACAAATACTCAAATTCCAGAAATGATTTGTGAAAGAGACTAGGGTATTTAAAGCCTGGACCTACGGCCTAAAAACAGTGTTAATGTTCGAAATAAGGCAAACAGAGTATTGGGTTTATATTCAGAAGGTAAATAAGAGTGCAGAGGTTTTATTGCAACTATATTCAGGCTAGTTAGGCTCACCTGATTATGGTTCAGCTTTCCCTGGTGCCCTCATTATAGAATGATATAAATCTACCAGGAAACACAGAAGCAAGAAATGACAAAAATGATTCCGGGACTTAGAAACCTTCCATATCAGGATGGGTTAAAGAAACTTAACTTGCATTCCCTAGAAAGACGAAGAGTGCGGGGAGATATGATAGAAGTATTTAAGTGGGTGAATGGAATCAATAAAGGGGATATAGATAAAGTTCTTATAATATCCGAGCAGGATAGGACTCGGAGCAACGGATTTAAATTGAATAAGTTTAGGTTTAGGAGGGAGATAGGAAGAAACTGGTTCACAAATAGGGTGGTGGACGAGTGGAACAAGCTTAGCAACTTTGTAGTAAGTGCGGGAACTCTGGAAAGTTTCAAAAGGAGGCTAGATAGATTCATGGATGATGGAGAGTGGTAGTAACTCTCGACAGGAGCTGCCATGCACAGGCCAACCGGCCTATTGCAGACTCCTTATTTTCTTATGTTCTTATATATATATATATATATATATATATATGTATATATATATATATATATATATATATATATATATATATATATATATATATATATATATATATATATATATATATATATATGTACTCACCCCTGAAGATGTGAATTACACGAAAGCGCTTGGGAACTTCGTGTTTTCTTCTTTCCTTGTGGTTATCAGCAGTTGACCTCTGACCCTCACCCAGTGCGGACCTGTGTTCCTGTCAGTGTTAGTGACATAGTGACATGGCAGCTGTTGACGAGTACTCGACCACCTCTCACGTTCTCCAGCTTTGTCTTGCCCTGCAAGACCGACTGGAGAAGGTTGAGAAGGAGGTCCAGAGTCTCAAGGGCGAAAACTTAGCCTTAAAGCTAGTTTTAGAGGAGAAGAAAACCTTTGCCAGTGTCGTGAAGGACGGTGAAGTTGAAGTGGATTCATGGAAGGTAGTTGCTGCTAGTGCTACAAAATGCACTCTAAAAAGGCACTCAGCTGTAGACCTAAACAACAGGTTCAGCACCTTAAGTGACGAGTGTGAGGAAGGTGCTAGTAACACCACGAGTGCTACTCCCTCTGTTAGTGTGGAGAGAGGGAGTAGCGCAGGTAAGAAATCACCACACTCAGGTAAGGTCAAATGTTTCTGTCATAGGAGACTCGATGGTGAAGTATTTAGGTAACAATCTCTGCACTAAAGTTCGGAAGCTCGAGTGTCTCCCCGGGGCAGGGATAGGTAGAGTACTGGAGAGAGTGGAGAACGTCATTGATGACTGTGGAGACAACCCCATAGTCTTACTCAGTGCAGGAGGCAATGACGTAGGTAAGCTTACCAGTGTCGAACTGCGTAAGCTGTATAGGGAAGCTCTAGATAAGATTAGGGTGAAGGGTGGAACTCCTATTGCTTGCTCTATCCTACCTAGACGTGGTGCCAGTCGTGAATGGATGTCCCGTGCAATTGGTTTCAATTGCTGGTTGGAAGAACAGTGTGAAGAGCTGTCGACGCCATTCATTGATAGTTGGAGCCTGTACTATGGTAATGATAGTATGTATGCAAGGGATGGGGTGCATTTAAGTAGGAAGGGGGTGGCGGTGCTAGCGAAGATAGTTGACAGGGTAGTAAAGGTGGGGTTTTAATATGTCCAAATCCCATCAATGGTAAAGAGAGGAAAATACCATGTGAAAATAACAGCAGTGAAACAGAAGTAGATAATGCTGAAAATATAGTTAGTCATAATAACAAACATCAAAGTAATAAATGTAAAACAGATAGAAACGGAAGAAATATTTTGAGTGTTTATTATACTAATAGTAGAAGCCTGTGTAACAAAATGGACCAGCTCAGGGCCATTGTTAGTAAAGAGAACATAGATATAATTGCAATAACGGAAACATGGATAAATTCAAACAGCAAACATTTTTTAGCAGAATTTCATATTCCAGGATATAACCTATTTAAATTTAACAGAGTAGGAAGGAGAGGGGGCGGTGTAGCAGTGTATATCAGGGTGTCATTAAAAAGCTGCAATAAATCAAACATTAAAACAAATAGCGACAATGAAAGTATTTGGGTAGAGATTGGTGAGGGCAATGAGTCTGTAGTCATTGGTGTTATATATAGACCACCTAATTTGAGTAGGAACGATGGTAAATTGCTATGGGAGGAAATAAAGAAGGCATCTGATAGACACAATGTATGTATTCTAGGCGATTTCAACTTTTCAGGCTTAGATTGGAAAAATCAACTTAGTGATAATGAATCTGAAGATTTTCTAGAAGTAGTACAAGATAGTTTTTTATATCAATTCATAAACTCGCCCACTAGAGGAAATAATATCCTCGATTTAGTTCTCAGTAATAATGAAAATCTAGTAAAAGATGTTGGGATTGGAGACGAACTAGGAAACAGTGATCATAAAGCCATATATTTTAACTTAATATGGAATGGCAGGAAGAAGGAAAATTCGGCCTTGATCCTGGATTTTAGGAAGGCTAATTACGGTAGCTTAAGGAGAGACCTAAGGGATGACCCTATGGTCAAAAGATTAATCCCCCCCACACCTCCGGAAACTGTCAACTTAGGACGGGAGAACCCCGAATTTAATTTAGCAGC